TGGGAAGTGCAGCCTCTTGGCAGGCGCTCTCTCTCTCTTTGTGTATGTGTGTTGTGTGTGTGTGTGTGTGTGTGTGTGTGTACACACACGCCAGGCCCTTCCTCTTTCATCAGGGTTGAGGAGAGACATTCCAAGCCCTCCTTTGCCTATAAAACGATTTCTTTTGTCGGTGGGAAATTTTTGCAGGGTGTGATCACCACCAGCACCTTTGAAGTCACCGTGAGCTCCTTCGCAAGCCCCTGGGGGCGAGATTCGGATTCCTCCCTCTTTCTCTCTCTCTCATTCTGAGCTGGGCAGGCCTGTCGGTACAAGCTGGGAAGCGAGAAGAGCCAGAAAATGGCCCACAGCAATGAGGACGAGACCACATCCAAGGAGAGACAGAGGCACCCGGGCTTTCCGGAAAGCAGTTTGGTCCCGGCTGGGTGCCGTGGGGGCGCCTCTGCCCGGGGGGGGGCACCCTTGCAGAGGCTTCCATGGGGACCCCCTTCCTGCTCCCCTCGGGGCCAGGGTCTCCGCCTGCCACCCTCCCCACTGATCCAGCTGCAGATGGGAGAGTGAAAAAATAAGCATTAAAAACCCATCTCTTTAGGCCAAGAAAGCTGACGTGGCAAAGAGGCATCTCTGAGGTGCTCAGAACTGCCAGGCAAGCAATTGCCCATCGAAGGCCGGATCCTTAACTCGGCTTCTTCCCAAGGGAGGGACGAGAGACGAGTCGGGCCGGGGCCGCTTCTGTGGCGTACTCCGAAATCCCCAGCCGCGTCCCTGGCATCTGCTGACACCCCACATCAGAGGAGCAGCGAGCACGCCCCGGTTGTCCGCGCGGCTCACCGGATCCCTGGCGGCGAGGTGGGGTGGGGCGGGTGGCCACGTGGCTCCACCGGGTACTCTTTACACCTGCGGAGAGTGGCGGGTGCTGGCGCACTCAGGCCCAAAGCCGGTTGAGCCCCCAAAGCGGCATTCGCCTCTAGGAACTGGGGATGGAAAAAAGGAACTTTTCCGATGGCTTTGCTTTCACCTTCAAGCCATCATTACAGAGAGAGAGAGATTCCAGTTTTGTTTTAAAGTGATGCCCTAAAAACAGGTCAGCCGATAATGGGGTCTGTATGTAATGACAACTCTGTGTTGAGGGAAAGAGACTCTGTACATGTTCAGGGGCACTGTCTCCATCTTGTCTCAAGCTTGGTACTCAGACTTAAAAGCCGCTTCCACAGCGAAGCCCACAACATCTTGAAGAAATGTGTGTGTGTGTGTGTGTGTGTGTGTTTGTGTTTGTGTGTGTGTGTGTGTGTTAGTGTGTTAGTTAGTTAATTGCTTTTAACCCACAACATCTCGAAGAAAAGTGTGTGTGTGTGTGTTTAGTAAAGAAGTATCTATTTCCCACACACACAGAATTGGGGTTCCCCACACTGCCCAGTGAGTTGGGTCAAAGCGCAACCGGTCAACCAGAAACCCAAACTTTTAAATCTCATCTCAGCCCCTGCAGAAGTGGGTTTAAGACGGGCACCTCTTCTCTCCCTCAGTCTTGAAATGGGAGCCATCATCATTCTGGGCTGTGTTTTGGGACAACTGTCGCGATGTGGGTGGAGTCCTTTGAAGGCTTTTAATTGCACGCATTTGTTTTTATCTGATCCTTTTCTGCAAGGGAAGGCAGAGAGCAGCTTCTGCCTTCACACTCCTGACAACCCAGCAAAGCAAGCAAGCAACGAGCCCCATCTCACCTAGAAAGTTTCCCCAGTGAGCCGGAATTTGAACCCAGATCTCCTTGGGCCTAACCTGCTGCTCTCTAACTAACCAGTACTGTATATACCATGCTGGTTGCACCTGGTAACTCTGTTGCTGCTGCTGTTTATTCATTAATCGATGAAACAGTTTCCATTTTGCCCTGTCCTGACAGATCTGAAGTGAGGATGATCAGTAAAACCACCTTAAAGAATCAACGACCATTTCATTTCCGTATTTTAAGACAAAACTTTGGAAGCCCTTTGAAACTCTTTAACACAAAGGAGCAAAAGTACGGGCGGCACCTTCCAGGCTAACAAATCGGTCTTTTCTTTCGTTTAGGGTTAATTAATGTTGAGCAAATTAGGCCTAACAATTAGGCACAGGGCTGTCCTGAGGCATTTCCCTGGGGAGGGCCCAACGCTAGCCAGTCCTGCTCCTTATTGAAGGGCTCAATAATCCACCCACAGGTCCCCCTTTGTTTCTAATGGAAAGCTGGAGGGCAAGCCTCAGAGTTGCAATCCCGCCAACGGGGAAGAATTCGAACTCGGGTTCGGCCCGCTCTCAACCCGATCTGCGTGCCGACGCTCCCCCACTCCTGCCCGGTTACCACCGGGCAGCGATCAGCCATTGCTGCAAGTTGCCTTTCCTTTCGGCCTCCGGGGTGACCCTTAGCTCCCGCAGACTGGCCAAATCCAAAAAAATCAGGGTTCTTTCCTTGGGCACGACATCAATTAAGCCATGGGCCTTTCCCTCGTTTTTTATTCTCCCCCCCCCTTTTTTTTCTTTTCTGAGGGTTGAGGGTGCCAACGGGTGGCTCCTCCCCGCGTGTCGGCATCTCTCTGAGGTGCGCTGGAAGGAGTCCAGCCGAGCATGGAAGGGTTGTTTAATAATATCTGACGGGTGGGGGAAGAATTCGGGCCGGCCGCCAAGATACACAGTGCCTGTAATCGTTAACTCGGTCTGTAAACAGTTCAAACGGCGCTGGAAAGGCCGTTGGTTATTACATGAGCGGGGCGGCTTTTCATCTGCCCGCTCGGGAGGCCCTGGGTGGCGCTCCCCCACTGGCTCCTGACAAGGGCTGGACCCGGAGGCCCGGAGGCAGGGTGTCGGGCAGTCAAGAGGCAGGCAGGCCAGGAGGCTGGGTTCGGCCAGGCCGCCCCGAGGAGAGCCGGCTGCCGACCTCCAAAGAGGGACCCCGCCAGGCCTTTCCTTCGGCCCCGGGTCGAAGTCCAGGGGGGAAAAAAATACAGGCCGGATTCAGGCTGGGCAGGAGAGGGTGAACCAGCAATGGGGTCTCCACCCGCCTCGCCTTTTCGTGTCGCGCAGAGATGGGTGCCAGGCAGACCTCTTGCCTCTTGTTTTAGTGCCCTGGCTCAGTCCTGAAACTTTTATAGTGCCAATAAGAAGAAGGCACAGCAGGTCACTTTTCCCTCACGGAAAGCCAGGGGCACTGGCGACGACTCATGGCAGGGACACCGCTCCACCTCCTGTTAGGTTTTTAGGGACCTGCTTTGGCCTTTCCTCTCGTTGCAGCTGCCCAAAAACCTCTAGCCAGACCGGGGGAAGCTTTGCTTTGGAGGCAGGGGGACTCCGAAGCCCCTCGCCCCCGGGGCAGAAGGATTCTGGGAACCGTCGTTGGAAACCGCCACCCGGTTTCCCCAGCTTTGGAGAGATGCTCTTTCCCATCTCCAGGAGGGACCAGGACTGAACCCAAGGGCCTCGGTGTGGCTCCAGACCACGTGGCTCCAGACCCAAGAATCCGATCCTTCCCGATTCCGGAAACGGTCCAGGGAAAACGTGGCCCGCTGGGTTCCTTTACTCTCCGAGCGCCCGCCTTCTGCCCGCCGAGAAGCCCCGGGGGGGATGTTTGTTCTTTTCCATTCGAGATAGGCAACCCGGGGCTAATGGTCCGGACGCAGGGTTATCGAGAGTTCACGGCGGAGCTTCGCAACTCCAGGATATGGAAAGGCAGGCTGTGCCTCATGGGCTACTTTATCAGCCATGGGGCGGAGCTGGAGGCTCACAGCGTTGAAGCCCCTTAGTAGACAAGATGATGGCGTACTTTTCCCCCACCCCTGCTTGTCTCCCTTCAGTCCTCACAGTAGCCGGCAGGAAAGTCAGGTTTTCTACGCACAGCGTTGTGTAGACTAAACCAGTTGTAATGCAAAGAGGGTTAGCTTGGTCTTGGATGAGTAATCAAGAGCCATTCACTTTGCAAAAGACCGGCTCCTTGTTTCCTTAATACGAACCATCTAGAGTGGTCAGCATTTCTGGACTTTCCTTGAGTTGGCTCGGCCACAGGTGAGCGCATGTCGATTTCCAACTGTTCCACTCCTCCGATGCTGGTGTTCACTTTGCAAAAGACAGGCTCCTCGTTTCCTTATACGAACCATCTAGAGTGGTCTGCATTTCTGGACTTTCCTTGAATTGGCTCGGCCACGGGTGAGCGCGTGTCCACTTCCAACTGTTCCACTCCTCCGATGCTGGTTCAGTATTCATGTGTATCCATGTGTCTCAGAGGTTCACAACTCTACCATTCCCTTTAGACTCCGAGTCCCAGTTTCCTCTATCCTTGTCTGTGTTGGCCGGGGTGTCTGGGGGTGGAAGCCCAAGACCTCAGGAAGTCCGAACTGCCATGTTTTCAGAGTTTCATGAGAGTCATGTGCAAAGGTAGCGCCTTTGGGGGGTGGATGCTCAAGCCTCATAGGTAGCAAAATGAGCCAGAGGAATGTCCAGACACAACGTGGGAGCTTGACCACTTTGGAGAGGAAATAAAAATGACAGGTGTCGTCAACAACCGGGAGCCTCGACAAGGTTTGTGGAGCCAACGCGAAGAATATTGAGCCATCAAAGCATGATGGGGTCTGTAGTCTGAAACGACAAAGCCAGAGGCTCCTGGCTTGTGATCTAAAAGAAAAAGTATGTGTGTGACTCTATCACATTCAGATTCTACATTCACCAAACAGGGAGTTCAATTCTAGCTATCTGAGGAAACGGGGTTGACTTTTAAAGAACAACAGCTGTAGCCAGATTATCCTAAAATGTTTACATCATTGCATGCAAATCAACAATCATAATCTGTGATTAACACAAGTGGAATGCCATCATTGCCACGAGATGCTGTTGCCGCCTGACAAAGCTCCAGCAAAGCCCTTCACCCTGGCATATTTCGTTGCCCGTGGTGTTGCAGCGTTGTCCACCTTAACCTGTGCTGTCATGCCTGTTTCTCCACTGCAGCTCAGTCACAACCGCCCTTCTTTTCTCGCCCCCCCCCACAGTTCCACCCCCTCTCTCTGTGTAACACCAGCGAGGACGAGCACACCGTCCCCGGATTCGTCTCCATCGTGAAGCTAGAGAGACCTGAACGAGATCTGCACCCTTGCCTGTCCTTAGCCAACAAGGTATGGAGGCCATCTCTGGGCCAGTGACTGTTATTCTCCATCAGGCTAGGGCCGTAAGCCCTGGGGGCTGGGGATTCTGGGAATTATAATGCCTCCCCAATGCCTCTGGGCTCATCATCTTCAGCGATCTCAACTCTCCAACTTTGGCGAGCTTTGCACAACCTGAGCCGCCTGGCGCTTTGCTAAACCAGAGTTGCGGGATCGCTCAGACCTCAGGCGGTGCAAGCTGATCCTTCGGAGGCCATTTCCACCCCACAGCTGAGACTTCATGGCCTTAGGGTGCGACGGACCTCCAATAGGGGCATTTGAATTCTGTTTGGGATTCTGTCCCTGAGATTCAAACGGGACCAAGGTGGGTAGGCAGCCGCAGCATCCCTCGCCATTGGCTAGCCTGGCTGGGGGGGGGGATGATGGGTGCTGTCATTGAGCCACATCTGGAGGGCCCCCTGTCTCCTTCCCGAAGCCCTGGAGCTGGCCGCCGAAAGGCTCAGACTCCAGAGAGAGTCTTTTCCTGGGTTCCTATATTTGAAGACTTCTCGGCTCCGAAAGGTGTGAGGCTTCTGTCTGGGGCCCGTTGCGGTTGGCAGGGCGGAAGTCCCACGGCAGCCTGCGGTGGGCAGAGCCAGGCTAAAAGCAGGGTGTTCCTACAGAGAGAGAGAGAGAGAGAGAGAGAGAGAGAGAGGCACTCAGACAGAAGGATGGGGAGGCGTGCAAGGGTCTGCATATCCTTCTGCTGCCTCTCGGAAGGAGGAAAGGGAGGAGTGGGACCGGCAGGGGGGTGGCCTCTGCCCTCTGCTAGCTTCGGGACATCTAGGGCATGGGTCCTCTCCTCTGCCCCTCTTTCCAGAGCAGCTGGGCCTGGCGGTGCTGCCCGGCGGCTGCCCACGCTTCTCTGTGGTTGATCCTCCCTGCTGGCAAGTGACCTTTCCTGCCACCCTGACGGCGGAGCATGCCAGCTGCGGCTTCCCTAGGCATGCAGAAGGTCTTCGCCCAGCCTTTGGAGCCGGGAGTGTGTATGTGTGTGTGTGTGTGTTTTGGGGGGGCTGCCTCCTGGCCAGGATCCAGCGCCAGTGGGAGGCAGAGGAAGGAGGGGGGCAGGCAGGCAGGTGAGACTGCCAGTCCAGGGCGGAAGGGCTGGGGAAGGCAAGGTAGACACCGGGAGGAGGTGGGGAGGGATCAGACCTGCGCTCACTCCTGCAGGAGGAGCGGCCCGCTCTGGTGGCACGTCTGGGGAGGGAAGACAGAGGGGAGCTTTGTTCCACCACGCAAGGCAGGGCTGGGCAGGGCCGGGTTGCATGCATGGCGGGGAGAAGGGGCTGGGCAGGCACAAAGCGGAGGCTTATGGGAGAGAAGGAGGCTTCGGCGAGAGCCGGACGAGCTGAGAAGAAGCATCTGCTTGGAATCCAGGTCCCAGAACCCTCTCTCATCGTTCAGTGAAAATGAATTAAAAATATCAGATAATTTCCACCCAAACAGAAGCAACCTCAAGAGCATCAGGGGGGCAGCTAACATTCAGTCTTTCTGCATTATCTGTTGGGGGGGACATAGAATCCAGTGACAGGATTGTCAAGTTGCCTGTTCTCATCAGAAAAGGCTGTGTCAGTGCAAAACACACACACACACACACACACAAACACACACACCTATTTTCTTAGATTCACTTTATTCTGTTGCCCATGAAATGACTTCCAGGTAACCCAGTTCTGTTTAGGATCTGGTTGTGTTTTAGACCAGACGTCCCCCTTTTAAACATTACCTGTAAACGGCTATCTTAGTTTTATTTGTTTGTTTGTTTGTTTGACTGATTATTTTGGCCCTTTCTCTTTTTTAGAACTGGGAGTCTGCTCAGTGCCTCCCAAATGTCGGGTTTTTCAAAAAAAATGTCTTTCGCTGTCCTTTTGTTTTAAAAATGGCAGCTTAAGAAGCCGGTGCCTTTAAAAATGGAACAGGTGGGTTGTCTCTGAACAGCTCGGCTCAGTCAAACACTGTGCCCCTTCTTTCCCAAAGATCTCGGGAGAATATGCTCTTTGGGCTCATATGAGTCTTAGAATCCACAAGCCACTAAGGACTAGTGGCTTGAGGCCGAGGCGTAGAACAAGAGACTCCGTCCAGGCCCCGCCAGCGGGTCGCATCCGCTCCGTTGTGGCTCGTGTCTTCTCCTGAACTTTTCTCTCTTTGACGGACAGGCCAAACTGGCTGGGGAGAGAGGAGCGCACGCTGTCCTGTTTGACATTACCGACGATGAAAGTGCTGCCGATCAGGTGAGCGATTCTTCTTTTACTTTGGGGCACCTGCTTTTAAAGCCATCCACGTGGCTGACCTGTTTAAAAAGGGGGAAAAAATAACCCTGATGTTGTGGATGCTTCGCCCGCCAAAAATATAGGGACACCCAAGTCCCCAGGCCCGGCTTCGCACCTGACCTGGCTTCCCCATCCCGTCCTCCCCGGGAACACGCTGCCCCCCCAAACCTTGTCATGCTCCCCAAGTTTTATCCTCAGAAAGGGACCCTACGGACAGATCGCAGCTGCTTCGGCTCACTCGTCGCCTGTCCCAACGTCTGAGCCGCAAGCCTTCGGCCACAGAATCAGTGCGCTTTTCCTTGACGAGGAGCGCTTCGGTGGCTAGACCTGCAAAAAAGGAACGAGAGGATGGAAATGGAGACAGATCCTCTGCCCGCCTTAAATAAATCAGTCCCTGAATTGTGGGGAAGCAATGCCACCCTACAAAATACTTCTTAGGGTTTGGGGATTTCTCCTCCACAGAAAGATGCCCCTTGAGGCTCCGTTTTTGGAGCACATGCGGCTTTCTTTCTGGCTGAGGGGAAAAAGCACCGGGTCGCCCCTCCCTGCCCCATCTAATCCTTCCGAGTCCCGTTTCTGCCACCCCCACCAATGCGCCTGACATCCAAGATTGCCTCTCTCCACAGCTGAGCAAACCCCGAGGACTCAGTCACCCTGTGGTCCTGATCTGGGGCCACGACGCCGAGCTTCTGATGGGGGTGGTGAATAACAATCGGGAGGCGCATGTGAAGATCGAGGTGAAGGAGATGCCAGCCTGGGTGAGTCTGGCTCATTTCTGGGCCCGTGTTCTCTGTCCCAAACAACCCATCTTGAGCTTTAATTGGATTTTATTTAAATTTTTTTTAAATGTCCCCCCCCTTCAAACAATTTGAAAGATCTCTGCTGGGGGGAAAAATGTGGCTATTCTGTGCAGATCTCCTAAATGCCTGTTTTCTCTTCTTTCCTGGTGGTCAGGTTGGCGCACCACGCTTAGGGACAATTTTATGGCCCCTTGGCTGCTTCTTGAAGTCCGAAGGTCTTCTCTTCCGACCTGTTCGTGCAAGATCCACGGGGTTGATCTTGACCATTCTCATTCTGCGCTGCTTCGTTCTGCTTTGTTCCTGCTGCTTTCCACTCAATTTCCGATGGACGGTCTTGTTCCTTTTACCCTCTCACCTCTCCAACTTGCTTCACCTCATCTCGAGGTAGCCCTTCAGCCTCACGAGTTTTCCCCCTTATCTTGTGGGGTCTTTCAAAGTCAGCGGCTGGTCACGTCCTCGTTCTGGTTTCCTTCCTTTTATAGATTTGGGGATTTCCCCCCTTGGTTTTTCCTCTTCTTCCCCTCTCACCCCCCCAGCCAAACGCCATTCTTGTGACTCCCGTTTTCTCATTCTGCCCCCCCCCTCACAAAAATTTGCGTGGCAGCTTCTTCGTTTTATATACCTCCTCTCTCATCAGGTTTGCTTTTTTGGAAGCTTAGGCCCATGTTATTTATTGGCTACTTCTTCAAACGATTTTTACCCTGGCTTTCTCCTTTAAAAAAGGAAGCTTGTATCATTAAGTTTTAAACACTAGCAATCTTGAGTACACATATACAAAAGGATCAAAGAAATATGTTCGAAAGAAACATCAGCAGCAGCAACACGCATTCAAAGCAGGATTGAGTGATTGATTGGTTGGTTGGTTCGTTGGTTGATCAATTGATTGATTGATTGGTTGGTTGGTTGGTTGGTTGGTTGGTTGATTGATTGATTGATTGACTAGATATTATACTCCGCACTATCTGGCAACCAGGCCACTCTGGGCGGCTGACAACAAGACAAACAACACAATATCAAAACAACAATAAAAAAAATACAAACATTCAACAGAGGCAAGAACCACACAAGACAAACAACACAATATGAAAACAACAATAAAAATTACAATAATACAAACATTCAACAGAGGCAAGAACCAGTTGGATAAATTAAAACAGTAAGGCACAACAATTAAAAAAAACCTCTGAGGCCACCCGTCACTCAGGGGAAGCATGCCTGAAGAGAAAGGTCTTGGCCTGCTTGCATTAAAAAAAGCCCCTGAGGCCACCCGTCACTCAGCCTGAAGAGAAAGGTCTTGGCCAGCTTGCAGAACGATAGCAGAGATGGGGCCAGCTGGGTTTCCAGTGGGAGGGAGTTCCAGAGTCTTTGGGAACAGCTGCAGAGAAGGCCCCTGTCCTGTGTCCCCGCCAGACACACCAGTGAAGATGTCAGGACCGAGAGGAGGTTGATTATTTCCCTTGCAGGGAGAAGATCCAGATTGTTATTACAGTACTGAAGAATTGTATTTTAGGGTCACCATCTGATTTTCCAGCTTCCTTTCAGGCTGTCTGTCCAGCAGTCACCCTAACCCTGTCCTGTCTTCTCGCCCCGCGGCCTGGGGTTGCTCCCTGGCTTCATTGCTCCAGATCCTCTCCATCGACTGTATTTTTGCCTCTGGTGTTTACAACTCCTCTGCCTGCCTCGGTGGTTATCTTTGACCTTTCCCTTTCCACCGGTTCTTTTCCTTCTTCAAAGAGACGGTTGTGCCACCTCTTCCGGGGGATTAAAAAGAGAGAGAGAGAGAAAGAGAAATTCAGCTTTTGATCTCGCCGAGCTGCCTAATTATAGACCTGCTTGCCTTCTTCCTCGTAGTTGTTCTCAGGTTCTCCTGCGCGCTTCTATCTGCTCACGCAATCTCGGCCGCCTTTGTCTCTCTCTCCTGGATCCTTATCAATCTGGCTTGGGGCCCAGTGGCGCGGCGCAATGCTGTCCAAAAGAGCTCGTCATGAGCTTCTCTTGGTTAACCGCCACCACGTCTTTACCACGCGCCTCCGTCCATCCATCCCGGCAGCCATTCTGTCCCGCGTTGCATCTCTTGCTGAGCTGGGATTTCTCAATGGCTTGTTCCTTCTTGTCCCCATTCCTTGCTCAATGTTCATCTGTTCACGCCATGATATTTTTCGTCTCTGCCCTTTCCCCTCTTCCTTTGAGCTTCTCTCCAAATTTGGGTCTCGTGCCTCTTCTTGTGGGACTCCGGCAACTTGACTTGGGTCCCCCCCCAAGACTCAACCCCCACCCATTCCCTCCTTTTTTTCTGGGGGGAAAAAGCTCTTTTTTAAAAAAAAAATGGACTCAGACACCTGAAGAAAATAAGGTGACAATCAGACACCTTTCATGGCTTGAGAGAGCACCTCTGCAGAAAACAGGCTAACCTAATCGTCTTTTTTCATGAACCCCGAGCTCAGCCAGGGATTTAAACTCATCCCAGGCTGAGATTCCAGGCTTGCGTAAGCATCTGTGGGGTGTCGGAAAGAAAGGGTGTTCCTTAAACTCTCTTTTTTTCCCCAACAGCCCGACTATGATGTTTGGATATTCCTTACTCTCTTGAGCACCGCCTTGATCATCGCCTCTATTTTCATTGTCCGTGCCCGCTGCCAGCCCAGCCGGAGTCAGGTAAGAGGCCCTATTTCCGCTCCCCCCCCAGCCCCACGTCACCAGCGTCCAAACAACATGATAAAGCTTCCAAGCTTTGTGGGATATTCAGGCGTGCTGGTTTTGGATGGCATGCCTCCATTTTGGGCTCTTGTGTTTTCCCCCCACCTTCTTCTCCCCCCCTACCCCTGCAGACCAACATGCAGGAGGAGATCCTCCAAGCCATCCACCGGCTGGCCACACGGAGGTTCAAGGCCCGCCGTCGTTCAGCGCCCGCCACGGACTCCATCAGCTCCTGCAGCTCTTCCCCGGTCTGTGCCATTTGTCTGGAGGAGTTCAGCGAAGGCCAGGTGGGTGTGAGGCAGGGCTGCCAGCAAAGAAAAGCTGCGGCTTTGGGGCCTGAGTTTCAGATCGCACATCAAAACCAAATGGCTATTTCATCCCTTGGCCATGTTGTCCTCCAAGGCACGCAAACCTTTCAGCGCAACAGGCCCAAGCCATCAAGCACGCTGTCCCGTCTCCCGATGGATCCGTTTGCAAAACAAAAAGCAGGTGCTGAACCCAGATTGAGGCTGGTTTGTTTCGGGGGGAGGGACCCAAAAACAGGCCGGTTTGTTTGCCTTTAAAGGACACACGGCTTGTCAAGACAGGATCAACATGCCGTCTAGCGAGGAGTCCTGAGATTCCGTCAATCGGATGATTACCACTTCCTGTCTTCCTGAGCTGTTGTGACCTTGGGCTTTAAGCAGGAGAGCTGGGGTGCAGATGTTTATGATAATAGTTATTCGTTTTTAATAATTAGACCAACAAAGGTGATCGGAGTGGGCTGTGCTCTCAGGAAAATGACAGCTTGCGGAGGACAAAACAACCAGGAAGAAAATCAAGGCCAGAGAAAGACCAGTCAGGCCCTCTTTGATCAGCCAGGAAAGAGCAGTTCCTTCCAATTTTCCCTTCCCAGAAAAACACCTCCAAAAATTAAGACTTTGTACCTAAGAGCCAATGACTGAGTGGCGGGTATTCCTTTGCCCAGCTTGTGGCTTTTCCTCCTGTTTGTGTGTCGTTGTTTTTTAATAGTAAACCTAAAGGTGGAAACCACCCCCACCCCTTTCCCCTGACTCACTTTTCAATCAACATGCCGTCTAGCGAGAGGTCCTGAGATTCCGTCAATCAGATGATTACCACTTCCCCTCTTCCTGAGCTGTCGTGACCTTGGGGTTTAAGCAGGAGAGCTGGGGTTCAAATGTTTATGATAATAGTTATTCGTTTTTAATAATTAGACCAACAAAGGTGATCGGAGTGGGCTGTGCTTTCAGGAAAATGACAACTTGTGGAGGACGAAACAACCAGGAAGAAAATCAAGGCCAGAGAAAGACCAGTCAGGCCCTCTTTGATCAGCCAGGAAAGAGCAGTTCCTTCCAATTTTTCCTTCCCAGAAAAACACCTCCAAAAATTAAGACTTTGTACCTAAGAGCCAATGCCTGAGTGGGGGGTATTCCTTTGCCCAGCTTGTGGCTTTTCCTCCTGTTTGTGTGTCGTTGTTTTTTAATAGTAAACCTAAAGGTGGAAACCACCCCCACCCCTTTCCCCTGACTCACTTTTCGTTGCAGGAACTCCGGATCATCACATGTCTCCATGAGTTCCACCGGCAGTGTGTGGACCCCTGGCTGCAAGAGCGACAGACGTGCCCGCTGTGCATGTTCAACATCATGGGTGAGAGGGGGGCCGGTGTGCATGGGGGCGGCCGTGGGGACGGTCCTCGCGGAGTTGAAAGCCCGAGCGGAAGGGAGGGGGCCCTAGCCAGCAAGGCCATGGTTAAGGAATGATGGGAGATGTAGTCCCTCGCTCCTGCAAGGTGGCAGGTTGCCTGTCCCATCTCAGTTTGAGAGCCTGAGGGAATAATCCAAGGCCACTCACTGTTCTGGCAGGAAATATAGCTCAACAGGAGATTATATTAGAGTAGGTAAGTAGGTAGACGGGGGGCGGGGAGGGAGAGACACAGACGGATGGAAAAAATAGAGATTTGGGGTGTTAAGTGATGCAGGAAAACCTACAACCTATTTGAAGGCTTTTCTGATTGTTGGTTGTTGTGGGTTTTCCGAGCTCTTTGGCCGTGTTCTGAAGGTTTTTCTTCCTAACTTTTCACCAGTCTCTGTGGCCGGCATCTTCAGAGGACAGGAGTCAGAACTCTGTCTGTGCTCTGGTGCAGTTTGTTTGGATAGTAGCTGTGGGATCAGCTTTTGTCCTTTTCAGGAGATGAGTAATTGTGGTGATCAGCTTTTTTTTGTTGTTGTGGGTGTATTGTGATAAGAGGGAGACATTATCTGTCACTGTGATTGATGGTGTCGTTAGCTGGTCTTTTATGGCTGGCCTCCTTTTCTGATTGTTTATTTCTGTGCTTTTGGGGGAAAAAACCCTTTTTTCGGCAAAGGAGCCTGAGAACGTCTTAGGGAGAGCAATACACATCCCGAGGCCCACTCCTGGCCTCCATCCCCCCCCACTTTATACCCCTCGACCCATGATTTCCCACTGAGCATGGGGTGGGTAAGGAGCCAAGACAGTGGGGGGGGGGAAACATAAGCAGAGAGGTGGCGGGAAATACTTTTATCTTCGGGAAAAGGATGGGGTCCCCGTTGGACAGCCGGAACCACTGACTGGGACGGTGGCTTTATGGATTTAGCTCCGTTTGCTTTTCATAGAGACTGGAACTCAACCAACTTGGGCTGAAAAACATTGGCCGCCATCGGCCAAGTGACGATTGCCAGTGAGATCCACCCAGCCAGTGTCGTCTTTGGGGAGCGGGGGCTGCCGCCTCATGGACCCTGTCCGATCCAGCCTTTGTGGGTCTAGGTAACCCATGTGTGGGGCAGAGAAGCTTCTTAGTCAGGTCTCCACAGGATCAAGATGTAATTAATGGCACCTTAGATATCAGGTGCTCATGCCTTTTTTTTCTCTTCTTCTCATCCCAGAGCACGTTTCCTCGGCGTTACCCATGTACTCCCAAGGAGATCCACGTCCTCGGGGACCAGGCGGGAGGCCTCGCTTTTCTTTTTTTCTCTACTTCTCATCCCAGAGCACGTTTCCTCGGCATTACCCATGTACTCCCAAGGAGATCCACGTCCTCGGGGACCAGGCGGGAGGCCTCATCTTTTCCGTCAACACCCCGGTCGCGCCGTGTACCGTTTCCCACGCAACCTCCCCCCGATGGCTCCCATAAACTGCTCTGCCATGCTCCCTCACGGCCACCCTTTCTTCCAGTCCCCTGAGCTCTCCCAGCAGAATTTTGAGACCGTGCATTACTGGCCTTACAGACCGGTGACCCCTGACCCGTGGTGTGGCCACCCGCCTCCCCTCGCTCGAGGCCTGCTGGCGGGCCAGCCCCAAGACCCCGCAGCGTGCGAGCCAGCTCGGGCTCCTCGGAGGCCCTGCCCGCTCACCCACCAGGCCTCTTGTCGAGCCCTCCGGGCGCCACTGGCCACCAAACTGAGCCGGGGTTTCCCCCTCCATCGGGGACTCCGCCACGGCAGGCATCACCACCATCACCACCATCACCGCCAGAGCAGCGGATCCGGAGAGATTTACCTGACGGAACCCAGCGGGTACCTGCCGGACGGCCCCGGGAGCGACTCGAGTTCGGGTCCCTGTCACGGCTCCTCGAGCGACTCCATGCTGAACTGCACGGATGTGAGCCTCCAAGCCATCCACGGCAGCTCCTCCACGTTCCACAGCTCCCTGAGCAGCGATTACGATCCGTTTGCTTTCTGCGGCTCGGAAAGCCCGGCGGCGGGGAATGGGCGGGAGGTGCCTGCCTCATGGCGAGACCCCCTCCCTCGGTCCCTCGACCCGGTGGCAACGGGCAGAGTGCCACTCACTAGCAGCCACATCCACTACCACCACTCGACCCGGTGGCGACGGGCAGAGTGCCGCTCACTAGCAGCCACATCCACTACCACCACCACCGGCACCACCATTACGGACGCGCCCCTCCGGATTGTCCGAATGCCACACCGGGCCAAGGGCCAGATCCGAGCAGGACTAGACATCCGAGGACCACAAAGAGCGCCCAGGTGCCAAAAAGGACAGAGAAAGGGACGAGGCCCGACAGCCGCTTGGCCTCTCCGGATGTCACTCGGGTCGGGCGGGTCACCAGTTTGCTTGAAAGGCCGCACGGGTGTTCTGTGCCCGAGGGACCTCATGCCAGTCCGGGTGAGGGTGGCGACAGGCCAGCTGCTGGTCCGTGCGTATCCCAAACCCCCTGCCTGCAAATCCACCCTGGTCGTAGGAGAGGGAAATGCCCCTTCAACGCTTCCCAAATCCTTCTCCCCAAAGATCCCCCCGTGGCCCAAAATTTCAGTCTTCCCGGACCTCTTGCTTCCAGTTCTGGGACCTGCTGCTCCTCCGAGGTCCAGCCTCTGCTGGCTGGTGGTCCTTCTGAGCCTCCTGCCCTGTCGTTGTCCCGGGTCTCCTCATCCTTAGCACTACACTCCACCACGGAGCCTCCGGAGGAGGAGCGGGCGTACGGCCTGGGCCGACTGGACTGCAAGCCCACCTTTTCCGGAGAACAGTCTGGGACAGAGGCCACGGGAACAAACGCCAGCCTTTACCTCAACTGCCAACTTCGGCAACACCTTCAAGGTAAGCCACCGCGTTGCGTGGTTGTGTTGTGTGTCTCGTCCACTTTTGTTTTTCAGAAGCTCTTCCGTGACTGTAAAATCCTTCTCTGGAGATTCCGCGGGGATTTCTGTTTCTCCTGGTTTCTCTCAAAATATGTCTTTGGGGTTATCCGCTTGTGGGATTATTTTTGATTCACAAGATGGGATGTGAACTGTCAATGGCCAGGTCAGATTTATTGATTTATCCATCGAGCTTCTAGAATGCCCCAACTTTAGTGACTCGGGGCAGTTGACATAATGAACCAAATCATAACAAACTAAAATACAGTGGTGCCTTGCATTACGACGTTAATTCATTCTAGCAAAATCGCTGTAGAACGAAAACGTCGTAATGCGAAATTAAAAACCCCATAGAAACGCATTAAAACCTGATTAATGCATTCCTAGGGGCTTGAAACTCACCATCCAGCGAAGATTCTCCATAGGGCGGCCATTTTCGCTGCCTGTGCAGCGAGGAATCAGTCCCAGAAAACAGCGGGGGGCATTTTTTTTTACCCGGCGGACATTTCGAAACTGCCGATCAGCTGTTTTAAAATCGTGGTTTTGTGAGAATCGGTTCCCGAAGCAGGGAACCGATCATCGCAAAGCGAAATTCCCCCATTGAAACCATCGTAAAGCTATCGCTTTTGCGATCACAAAAAGTTTGTCGTAATGCGGTTTCGTCGTTAAACAGGGCGCCCGTCTTGCGAGGCACCACTGTAATATAAGAATGCATAAATCATAGCACAGACAAACAAAAACAGGGAGGCAACCGAGGATTGCCACCCGGTGGCCTTGGTGAATGAAATTATATAAACCGTAACATAATAAAATGTGGGGTAATATAATAAAATAATGAATAATATATTCTCGAAGGCTTTTGTGGCCAGGATCCGATGGTTGTTGTAGGTTTTTCTACAACAACCAATAAAGTGATAACCCTATCACTTTACTGAAGATAAGAGGCTGGTCCTACTGTTAGGTAGACTGAGGCAGCTTTGGGTTAAGCAGCCGGCCTCCTACCTCCTATGTTAGCTGGTGTCTTTCCAAGAAGTTAAGTTGCATTTCATCAATACCAAAAGATGCGCTTATCATCAGTATCTCAAGATGGACCTCTACAACACTTAAAAAAAACACAAGTTTATGTTCTGCAGAATTGAAAGAGGTTTTATATAGCATCTCTCCAAGAGCTGATGATGTCCAGGTTCGTCGCCCATTTAGAGCTTTGAATATTGAGCCTGGCCACCTGGAATCGCAACAGGCGGGGGGGGGGGGGCGGAGTCTGCATCAGCGAATCTAAGAACGTACCCGGGAACAGGACCGTTGAAAAAAGGGTTCCGTAAAAGGTCAGGAGGGGCGGCATTTTCCTGGCTAATTGCTCGCGTCTGATTTTCTAATTGCAGGACCCGAAGACGATGTCCCAGACGTGTTCGAACATTCGGTATGACAGGCCGTGGGTTTGCTGGCTGCGTTGGGACGGCCTTGGACAACGAGCCGGTTTCCAAACCAGCGAGAATGGGCTGCTTCCTTGCAAAGTTCTCGAGCTTTCCTTTGGCAATCGTACGGCAGTCTGAAGATTTTGCATCTCTGGACACCCCCCCCACACACACACACATACATACCTTCCTGCCAAACTCAGATTGACTCCTGCATCAAACGTAAGCTTTCTAAGGTCTCGCTGGGCATTTCCAGACACTCTGTTCTGCACACACATACATACCTTGAGATCACGATTGCTCAGGTAGCCCCGTCTTGCCTGCCAAACTCAGATTGACTCCTACATCAAACGTAAGCTTTCTAAGGTCCCGCTGGGCATTTCCAGACACTCTGTTCTGCGGGGTGTTCAGATATGCATGGTTCTCGCTCCGGACAAAAGAGAGAGCCGGTTGAAACAGATCAGAATTTCCCAAGAAGGAAATCATTGTCTCTTATCTCACTGTGCTTCTCTCTCTTGCGCCACTTGCTTCACACAATAACCGTCTGGTTGAAGCCTCTCTGTAAACACAGGGGTGTCTAGAATCACAGGTCATTGAGTCTGAACCCCCCCCCACACACACACGCACACCAAATCAGGTAATTGCTTAGAACCCTCTTTATATCAAAGTGGAAATTCAGGAGAGTTTCACGACCCCTCCAAAGCAGATATATATATATAAAACGAAGGAGATTAATCTGGTTTTGAGGTCCTTTGGAGAGAGCAGCCTGTTCTGGCTCCCCCATGTTTTCCTTCTGATATCCAGGTTGATGAGACACGTACCTGTAGCTTATTCAGTTCAAACCAACAGGTTCCTCACCAATTCTTTTTCAGATCAATCTCTCTCTCCCTCTCTCTATGTGGTTCTCCTCCCCGTACAACACACAGCTCCTCCAAGGGGCTGATTTGGGCCCAGGAGTGTCCAGCGTCCGACCTGTTAGACTCACCCAAGCTTTAACTAAGGGGGCCCAATAACTTCCTAGCAGACTTTGTAAGGCAGTTCAAGAATTAAATTCTGAATACAGAACTAATTCCTCTACCACAATATGCAAGTTCTCATTTGCTGGTATTCCCTGCATGGATGAGTTTTGGTTGCTCCGTCATCAGCTATGCACTGGGTGCCATGTTCTGTATATGGAAGTTTAATTTTACCATACTGTATATATAGAACATGGTAAAAGAAAGAAAAAACAGATGTTTTTCATATGCATTACCAGAACTGGCCACTAGAAGGCACCAAAGACCATGTTATGTATTCTTCACCAACAAGTATTTGTCTCTGGCTCCCTCTAGTGGCCTGTTCTGGTAATACGTGTGAAAATAGTTTTTCTGGATTTTCTTTTTTCTTTTAATATTTTCAGACTGGACAAGTGAATCAGTGGATATTGATCCCATGGATAAGAGGGTCCTACTGTAAATATTTACAAGATCAATTTCCCCCCAAAAGACCTTCTTGCTGATACGTGTAAATGCTGATATGTGTAAAAGCAGGCAGCATTCACATAAGCATTTGACAGGAATGCCTTCCTTGTCGTAGAATGTAATGGTGGATCATGCCCCCAAATGTTAGGGGTCACCTCCCTGCCACGTTTGGGCATGGGGCCAGGGTGACTGTTAATGTGCCCCCCAGGTGGCAAAAGCTATGGGTTTTCCTGCTGCTGGGAAAGGGCCTGCCCCCAAAGATTCCTTTGACATCTTTGACTTCACGTATTGGTGGATAATTATTCAAAAAGGTGACTGCACAGCTCCATGAGTAAAAATAAAATGCACAATCGAGCACTTATGCTGAGCCCAGCCAACACAGCATCAAAGCGTGCAGGCTTCCAGATTCTTCAGAACCCTTTATCCTCAGAAAAATGTGGGTTTCACCCAAAGAAGTGGAACAGACCTCTGAGCTACAAATATTTTCTGAAATAGAGAGTGGTCCGTTCTTCCAGGATGGATTGCCAAATATAACCTCTGCTCTTCCCTGGGATTTGTTCTGCCTTTCAGCCTCCATCTTGGCGGGAAAAAATCTAACAGCTCAATTTGGCTTTATTCCGGGAGTTTTCTCCTTCCACCCCTCCACTTTTTTGTATCACCTAGCCGGATGAAGCGTTCTGGAGAATTCTGAGGCTTGCGCATTTTGAATCCTAAAACGAATATTTCCCAAACTGTAGATTTTGTTTGTAGTATTTCATCTCAGTTTAAACCAACTTAACCTGGTTTATTAGACATCGGATTTCTCCAGGAACACTGGAGATTTCTGATTCCTTGAGGGAGGAGAAAGAAGAAGAATCTAACGGAAAACTGACAGTACGTTCACCAAAACACCACCACAGAGTTCTATGGGGAGAAGCAATGGCTTTGAAACTGATTAAAAATGACCACAGTGTTAGAGAGAAAGGCTCATCAGGCCACTGAAAATATTCCACCCCCAAATGGTGCAGGGGGTTTAATCTATCTAAAGAATGTTTATACGGGGCAAAGAAAGGGATGTTCAACTTTGCCTTTTGCTAGAGGACTTGATAAGAGTGAAAAAGAGTGCAGAAACTTTTGAGATGGTAATGAGTTCACCTTCCATTAAGAGAGAGGGACTTTCTGCAAATGCTTTTATCACAAGAAAGATCATAAACTGTTCCCCTTACCCCACAAATCTATAGGACAGTGTTGGGGCTCAGACAGGAATGTCAGATCTAGGTTTTCCTTTGGAGTTTGTATCTTGTGGATGTGACAATGGAATGCATGTTGTTACAGAGACCGGTGTTATTTGGGGCAGATCCTGGAAAAGGATCTGAGCTGAGTCCGTGGGGAAAAATGCCGCCGGGCGGGCTCTGTCTGGGCACCACCCAAAATTTAATAACAATAATTGTGGCCCATCAGGTCAATTCTGATTTTTGGTGCCCCCTTTGCTGGGGGCACCAAAAAACCACCCATTCCTTTCTTCATTTTGGGGGGTGGGGTGGGGGGGATCCCTGGGATCATGCAGGCTGACTCTTTTGGGGAAGCACAGTGGGGGAATCAAACTCTCAACTTGGGCTCCGCAGCCAGAGACCGAATTTACTGAGCTATCCAGCCAGCTGCCCGACATGTAGCATTCCTCCAGATTTTTCCCCTCTCCTGCCTGGGGTCATAGACAGTCACGTTTTTTGTTTAAGGAGGTGGCGGCATGCATGCCACGCCAGGGTTTTGCCATCAAGGACCTGCTCTGGAAGGTACAAGGAGAAAAGAGGTCAGATTTCGACCCACTGCCCGGAAAAAAACATCCTTCCTCTTTTTAGTTTTGCATTTAAAAACATCCTAGGCAGGGCACGCCATAATTTAGGAGCTGAGTCTGAGTAGAAGCACGGAGCCGTCAGGGTTCCAGGAAGGGGATAACATTTCAAAAAACAAAAACTAAATAAAACTTTTAAAAAGCACATCTTAGAGCTATGGAAAAGGATACAGAATTTTTTTTTAAAATAGTGCCCAGACGTCATGACATCTGGAAGAAACGGGGCTTGCTGTGATGCTGAAAAATATCTCAGGGACTCACAGTCTAACCCTAGAAAGCAGACCTGCCTCTTTAAAATATTTTAAAATAAGGAACATGTTAAGATGGGGAGGGGGGAGTGCAGGCAGTTGGGAGCCAGAAAACACAAAGTGTACAATAGGGGGAGAAAACTATGGGATGTTGGCAGGAGTGATCGCTCCAGATGCCATCTGTTTGCATTCACTGTTCTCGTTTGAGCTGACGAACTGAAGGGTTATAAAGCAGACTGGGTTTTAATTATTATTATTTTCCCCCTTTTGGGGGGGGTAGCCTTTTCCTTCGATCTGCTTTGAACCGGCAACCACAGACCCTTTGAAATGTGAACGAGGAAAATTGTTTTGTGTACTTCTGCATTAAATTTCTGGAATCTTATTTTGCAGGCACTTGGGTATCTTTGTGTTAAAAAAAGAAAAAGGAAAAAAAAAAGAGGAGGGTGGGGTAGGAATATGTTGATGTATATACATACGCAAAATGATATATTTATGTTGAAAAGCTAGAGATTGTTTGAATATGGGAATGTGCTTAAGCCTATTTATTTTGCTAATATATTTATCCACGTGTAAAGCTGTCTATATGGCTGATTCCTTCTCCCCTCTTGTATAAAGTCTTCGGATCTCCATGTCTGCGAGATGCCTTTTCCTCGGAAATAAATTATTTTTAATTTCTGTGCTTGTGCATGTGCTGTGGGCAAAAGAGGACCAGAGAAGGTATTCTTTTGTTGTTGGTGGTGGGAGGGCAGGAATTGTCCCCAAATGGGTTTCGACATGCTAAAGGTAGCTGAAGCTCTCTGTCTTAAAGAGCTTGGAGGCAGGAAGCCTGCATGCGGCCAAAGCACCAGGCGCAGCGGGTTGCGCTACGAACCTGCTGCTGCATCCGTCCAATTCAGATCATGGCGCCGTGTGCAAGAGAACCCTCCACCGGACCACGTTCCCTCCTTCGGATTGACCTCCACTGTAGCCAGCGATGGGCTTTCCCATTTGGAAAGCAATGAAGGGGAGGATTCGCATGTTGGCAGCGTGTCAGAGGTGGAAAGGGACCCCCAGAGGCCATGCAGTCCAGCCCCTTTGGCTCTGGCTGAGGATTTCACAGATGGATTTCCTGGGAATTTTTTTTTTATTCCAGCCCCTCCAGGAAAGGGGAGACTCTGAGATGGCAAGTGGGGGGGTCCTAAAGGAGGTCAGTTAGCCCCAGGGTTGTGTTTCACTAAAGAACCTGCACCACTTCTTTAAGCATTCTCTTCGAAGATCCAGGAACATGCATTTTGGGAAAAGGGAGGGGAGCCCCCAGGTCATTTAAATGCAGATTTGGCTCCCTCAAGTCTCCCATAAAAATGCACAGAGGTGCAAAGGGGGGGGGAGGTAACAACACTTTTTTTTGCACTCTGCCTTGATTTTAGGGTGGCCAGTTATTATAATCAACCCCCAGGGCATGGTGCAACGCTGCATTTTAAAAATACCCTCCCTTAACATCGCGTTGTCAAGCAAAGCCCTTCCCTCTGGGAACTTAATCAAGCCTTTCCACCTTTCCAAAGATAGACTGCTCCTGCTCAGGGAGCTTCTTCTTCATGGAGAGAAAATAACCCATCCTCTTCAAACTTTTTGGTCCTTATGGCTTTAAAAATTCCCAAATCCAAATTACTCCAGCGGAATTCCGGGAGTTGTAGTCCAGAGAAAAAGACTTTGATCAATCCAAGTCCTCTGCGCATGCGCCCAGCGGGAGCCACGGGCCCGCGCTAGGCAGCAGCAAGTCCTCGCTTGGCCTGATAGGCGTCGTGTGACGCCCAAGAAGGGCGGGGGGGAAAGGCAGCATGTGCGCATGCGCCTAACGAACACGGCGGAAGAAAGGGCAAGGAGAGTCACCATAGAGTCGCGATGCGGAGCAGAGCGGCTCCTTTATGCAGCGGATGTGTCCCCAGGGGGGCGGAAGTGACGCTCCCGGGAGAGGGCTCCTGTTTATTTGTTCCCCGGCTCTCGAGCGAGGTGGAGGCCGCCGTTGGGTCATGGCGTTGGAGACGGTGCCCAAGGACCTGCGGCACCTCAGGGCCTGCTTGCTCTGCTCGCTCGTCAAGGTGGGTGGCGATGGGGGGGAGAGGGCCTCCACTTCCGGTCCTTTCCCGGAAGTCCCCCGGTGTTGCTCGGGTTTGGTACAGCGCCGAGCACCGGGAAGGGCCGCCTGACGCTCCGCCGGGAGCTCCGGGCAGGACGGAGGGAGGGAGGGAGGGGGGGAGCGGAAAGCTGCGCTTCAATATTTTTAGGCTTATTGGTTTTTTTTTGGCTTTTTAATTATGGAAGCCGCCTTGAATCCTTTGAAAGGAGGTGTAACCAAAAATAAAAAAATCCCACAAAAAATCTTTAAATAAAATGAATAATTCCCTATTTTCCTTTCTATGAGACGCCCAAGGCGGCTTACCACATAGCTGGGCCGGTTGGAGGACGGAGAGCATGATTAGAGATGGGGAATTTCCGAATATTGTACACGGTATTTCCATTTTAAAGACGTTTGGATGGAAGTTGTTGCTGTTTTTCCCCCAATTCCAGACCATTGACCAGTTTGAATTTGATGGCTGCGACAACTGCGATTCATACCTGCAGATGAAGGGGAACCGGGAGATGGTTTATGATTGCACTAGTTCATCCTTTGATGGGTAAATATGCTTTGGGGGTGTGTTTTTTTTTGGGGGGGGCCTGGGCTGTCTTCAGGCAGGCAGGAATGTGGTAAGTGATCTTGCAGCTGCAAATATCTTTTGCTGTTACTGGCTCTAAGCTGTTTGATTATCCTAACCAAGTATAAAACCATAGCAATAAATCTTATTTATTCATTTTGTTTTGTATACTGTCCCATTAGCGAACATCCACTACTCTGGTGGGTGTACCAAATAAAACGTGAAACCCAACCCCCAGCTCCACCTCAGTACATCAACAACAAACTATATGTAATCTTTTAAAATACCTACATTTAATAAATATTAACAGCATTTTGGGGTGCCTTTTAAAGACTACTTTATAGAGTCCTGTCTTTTCTAGTTTCTTAAGTATGAGGGGTGCGAGGAGCTTGTTGAGCTTCAGTGGGAAGCTTGCTCCACAGGATAAGGGCCACCATCGAGAAGGCCCGGTTCCTTATTGTCACCTTTTTAGCCTCCCTCAAGCTGGCCACTTTGAACAGTGTGGATTGGGAGGAGTGTGTGAGAAACAGGTAGCTCTTCCCTGCGACGGACCTTCTGAGAAGTTCTGTTGGCTTGATCATCTCTGAGACTCCTCCTCCTCTTTCTTTCTGCAGCATCATTGCCATGATGAGCCCTGAAGACAGCTGGGTCTCCAAGTGGCAACGGATCAGTAAGTTGTTCCCAGCACTTCCGCCGCCTTCTGCCGGTTCTACATTAGTCTTGCCTTCCTGTTGGCGAGGTTCTGAGCAACGAAGGCCAGTTTTCCTTTCCTTTCCCAAAGCCTTGCCTAATAAGTATGATTTGCTAGTTTGAATTTTGAGTGGAAAGGGTGGCCTTAAATCAAGACCTGAACTCCAGTTTTTAATTCGAGGTCTCCAGGGTGACAGCAAGCTAGCAAACCATCCTGAAGGAGTCCCAGAATAGTGACTATGTCATGTCAATTTTTTCCCCAAATACACACACTGTGGTTTGTATTTTTCTTTTGTTCTGTTTAGGACTTGTGATAAAATAGTTCCACAGTAACTGAGGCTTGTTCAATTGTTTTGGGTAACCCTTTTCCTTTGGATGGGTCTTTTTTGGCCTATTCTGTGTGGTGGTGTTTATTCAACCTACCACTTCTGGAGATTAGCTGGCTTATTCTCTTCCTCTTTTTTCAATTATCTTCTGCATGAAGTGCTCCAAGTATTCATTTGTGTCTGACACAGTTTATGAGGGTCGCTTAGACTTAGGCAGGGAATACAGTGGTGCCTCGCTTAGCAATTGCCTCGTTTAACGATGTATTCGCTTAGCGATAAGGTTTTTGGAGTGATTTTGCGCTCCGTTTACCGATGTTCCCTATGGGGAAATGTCGCATAGCGATGTTCGGGACCTTGCCTCGCTTAGCGATGACAGTTTAGGTCCCCTGTTTCGCTTAGCGATGTTCCGTTTTCGCTATTTTTAAAGTGTCTTAAAATGTTCAAAAACTGTTTTAAATGCTTGGGATCGTTAGTGCACCTTGTAAAACCTTTGCAAACTTAATTTGGCTTTGTTCTGACTCTTCATTAATTTTTGGTGAATTCCCCCCCCCATTGGAATGCATTGAAAACGGGCATCGCAAAACCATTGGAATGCATTGAATAGGCTTCAATGTATTCCAATGGCGGGAACATTGTTTCACTTAGCGATGTTTGCTATGGCGATTTTCGCTTAAGGACGGTAATCCATTTCCATTGGAACGAATTAACCGGTTTTCAGTGTATTCCTATGGGAAATGGTGTTTCGCTTAGCGATGTTTTTCCATAGCAATGTTTTTTTGGGAACCAATTAACATCGTTAAGCGAGACGCCACTGTATTTGATCTGAGGTGACTGGCAACCTTACAGGATGGCTGGGGCTCCCTTTGGCCCTGGAGCGCTAAGGGTCTGTTCTTTGTCTTTCAGGTAGAGGTGACTGGCGACCTTACAAGATGGCTGGGGCTCCCTTTGGCCCTGGAGTGCTAAGGGTCTGTTCTTTGTCTTTCAGGTAATTTTAAGCCCGGAGTGTATGCAGTGTCTGTGACGGGCCGTCTTCCCCAAGGTAATGTTTTATATCAGGAGGTGTCCTAGCTTATATGTATCCATTTTGTCAAACATATACCATATGAAACAGTGGACTCAGGTTTCAAAAAGCCAGATTTTGGTTGACTATCAGGAAATTTTAAGCCAGGAGTGTATGCAGTGTCTGTGACAGGCCGTCTTCCCCAAGGTAATATTTTATATCAGGAGGTATCCTAGCTTATATGTATCCGTTTTGTCAAACATATACCATATGGAACAGTGGACTCAGGTTTCAAGAAGCCAGATTTTGGTTGACTATCAGGAAAAAAACTTCCTGTTAGAGCAGTACGACAGTGGAACCAGTGACAGGAGTGTATGCAGTGTCTGTGACAGGCCGTCTTCCCCAAGGTAATATTTTATATCAGGAGGTATCCTAGCTTATATGTATCCGTTTTGTCAAACATATACCATATGGAACAGTGGACTCAGGTTTCAAGAAGCCAGATTTTGGTTGACTATCAGGAAAAAAACTTCCTGTTAGAGCAGTACGACAGTGGAACCAGTGACCTCAGGGGGTGGTGAGTGCTCCAACATGGGATGCATTCAAGAGAAACTTAGACAACCACCTGGCAGATCTCATTTGATTCAGATTCCTGCATCAAGCAGGGGGTTGGACTTGATGGCCTTACAGGTCCCTTCCAACTTCATTATTCTATGATTCTTTGAATAGGTTTCATTAGCAGCGAGGGAGAATTTCAGTTTGATTGGTGCTTTTTTTTTAAAAAAAAAGGATTTTCCAATACCCTTTATACTCAGAACGCAAAGAAATGGCAGGTAGAGCATGTTATATGTTGGAAAAACAAAGTTTTTTTTCTCCATCTAATCTTATGGCCTTGAGCGCTTAACCCTGAAAAGACTTTGAACCTCTGTATTCAACCTTATTTCTGGTTCTAAATTAAGATCTTTTTAATTGAGATCTTGCAGGATGGATAGGGTTCTCTCCCCGTTGGGAATGGTTGTTACTATATAATGTCAGCAGGTGAGGGGGAAATTTGATTTCAAAATGTTTTTTAAAGGATGGAGCAGAATGTTCAGATCCTGCATTTAAAGCAGGAGATTTAAGGTCGAGAAAAAAAAATCACAATGAAGGAGATAGATTTTTCTCACCCTTCGCTGCAGTTGATCTTTTGGGTGTTGGCAGCCAAAATCCTGTTGCATAATTTGCTCCTGTAGACAGAGTATGATGATCATATTAACAGGAAGGGAAATTTTCAAAAATCAAAGACTTCTGCCTTCTGTCTTGGAACTACCATGGCTTGTTAAAACACCATCCACAAAAGGTCCTGGGTGGCAATGGAGAAAAGGGTCTGTTTCTCCACATTCAGTGCATGGGTTACTTGTAATGTTTCCCACACATTTGCGGTAACATAACTTGTTTTGCACAAATGTGTATACCAGCATAGGTTGGGCCCAAGCTGCTGAAAGGACCGTATCTTCTTTTATGAGCCTGGCCAGGCATTCAGATCATCAGAGGAGGCCTTTGTCTCAGTCCCGCCACCTTCAGCGGTGTGTCTGGCTCCTCATTTCTGCTCCACTTGATGAGTGTCTCTCTCAGATGCTTTAGGTGTGGGCTTCTTGCATCAGGAGGGGTTTCAGACGACATCATTCTTGGTGGGATCTTTCCCAGCTCGGCAATTCCGTGATTCTAAATGCACCTGTCTTTTTTTTCCCATAGGGATTGTACGAGAACTGAAGAGCCGAGGTGTGGCCTATAAATCTCGGGACACGGCCATTAAGACCTAGACAGACCTCTTTTCCCCCCCGAGATGCTCCATCTGGCTGTCTATTCCTGGGCAGGCCTGTTGCTGAGTGGAACCACCTTCATGTCATGGGAGCAGCATCTTTGTGCGTCTGGGGCTGTCGACCGCCAGCTGCCCTCGTCTCACCCCGACAGCTTAGCTTGACAAGGGGGGGGGGCATCCTTCCGTGAAGCCGCAACCAGGAGCGCCTGTTGTTCACCAGGGAAGCGTTTCTTTTGAGATTTCTGTAAATAATTTTTAATAAATTGGATCATAGGATCCGAAAAGTGGCACTCTGGTGTTGGATGTTGGCTCGCTTCTGCACACGGGGTGGAATGGAAAGAGGAGCGGGGTTCTCTTTTGCCTGGACACCTCACAACTTCCTTCTGGCCTGATGTTTCTCTAGACATCACACTGGGGTGGAGCGCCATATAAAAACGCAAGTCTTCTTTCGGAACAGGCCAATCTCCTCTGGGGTGCTGGTGGGTCTTTCCCATTTCGGCGCTGTCCCTTCTTTCCTGCAGCGAATGCTGGTTGAGGCTGATGGGCTTTTAAGTCCAGCCACTTTAGGCGCCTGCCTGATCGCCATGTGGCTCTGTGCCTGCTCTGCCCCGGAGGTAGTCCCGAGTCGTGGTGGGAAACCTCCCGACCCTCCAGGAGCTTAGGCCTATTCTCTTAGTTCTTGTCAGCCGTGGAGGTGCAAGCTTCGGCCAGAATCATCTGCTCCCTTCCCCAGAAGGGTTGTCCTGTCTTGTGTACCACAAAATCAAGAGGAAAGGGCAGCCCTCCAGGGATTACTGGACTGCAACTCCCATCAGCCCCTAGCCAGCATAGCCGGGGAGTGGAGCAGACTGGCAGTTACAACCCCATAGTGCTGGGAGGGCTTCCCTTTATTCACCATTGTTCCAGAAGACTTACAAGGACCCATGGAGGATGATCACAGTATCGTAACTCTTCTCGTGGGTCCTTGCTTGGCCACAGCAAGAGCTTTCTTGGTTGCTGTTTCTCAGGCTGGGAAATGCCAGTGAATCTTCTACTCAAAGGGAGGGGGAAAAACAGTGGGAGGAGGGTGTCTGTGGGAAGGACTTGGGCTAAAACCCTATTAGACCAGATCTAAAGGCCCGTGGGATGCTGCCACCGAGGCTGATCCCTCCACTGCCACTTGGGGGCAGCATAAGACCATTTCTATGTGCTGTTCCCCACAATACACCCCTGTATGTGTCTTTTGTTGCCTGCCAGAGAGAGGGGCATTGTTTCCCCTCCTATTAAAAGTGCTTTCCATATTGGTCCGGCTGGCCCTCATTCCTACAGGACTTCTGCTAGATAAACAGGGTTTTTTTTTTTGTAAAACTGAGTTGGATCCCACATCCTGACTCTTATAAAGCATCCCTTTAGCTTCCCTGTCTCCTCAAATCCTTTTTCTCTCTCCTTTTTGGGTTTAAATGTCTCGGTGAGGAGCCTGCCCTGGTGAAGCAGGGGCCAAGATTTTGACCCTTTAAAAAAAAACAAAGGAGATGGGAGAGGGGGGTGGGTCAAAAGGGGCCCATTCTCAGGAGTGTCCCCGGAAAGGGGGTGCCGAAGGTCTAAGCACCTCTCAACCCACCCAGACCCACAACATCTGTGCTCTTTCACACCCGTGGTGATACGGTTCTAGAGTTTGTCCCAGGTGTTGTGTGACACGTTTTATTTGTTCACCATGGCTGGTGCACGGCTGTAATCCCACACAGTCACATGGGTGGGGATTTTCCCTCGGTTAGTCTTACACGGAGGTCTTCGGTCTACATTTTAAATGTCATATTTTCTCTTTGCGCTTGGCTCTCGTTAGCTCCTTCAAGAGGAGGGAGGGGAAAAGCCAGGACAATCAATGTGAGTAAACAACATGTCCTTCTATTTTGCTCTCTTGCAGCTGATCCATGTGCAAAAGCAAGGGGTTGGGGAAAGGGGTCTTCGGGTCCCCAAGAATTTATTCTGGCTTGTTTCGAGGAGGGCAAAGTAGACGTTTTTAAGATCCCATGTTGCACGCAGTTAACTCAGGGGAGTGACACAGTCGCTGCATTTTCTGCTGTCTCCGGAAATGGATTGTAATCCGAGAAAGCTCTTGCCCAGATCGACCTGTTAGGTCTTTCTGGTGCCATCCTGTTTCGTTTTTTTGTCATGAATGTTAACACCGGCAGACTCGGCTGCGCTTTTGAAATGTGGAGACAGTGAGGCTGAACTCTGGCCTGGAAACTGTGGCCCTCCTGGGTACGTAGGGGGTTGCGGTTCTCGGATCAGGAGCTGGACGGGGCCACCTGTATTTCAGGATCCCTTCTTCCTGCCTTTCGCCCCTTTTCCTTTCAGGTGGGATGGAAGAGCGGCCATAAGTGGGGCGTCCTGCCTGCCCGCGGCTTCGCCTGCACATGCACACATGAGGTTTGCTGATAAGTGGCTTAGTCCGAACTGCTTTTAACCCCTTGTGTCTCTTCCAAGGCCCGCCTTGGGCACTGGTCCTGTCAGCCTCTTTCACGCTGTGACGGCTCCAGCTCTACGCGTGTCGCTTCTCATTCCACTGCCTCCGCGCTCATAGCTTAATTCTTTTAAGCCTTCCAGGCAGTCACTCCAATGGAAAAAGGACCACTTTCTAATGCAGGGTGGCAGGTGGACTCCCATGGATCTTGAATGTTCAAACCCTTTCCTGTATCGCGGGCGTTTCCGGCCTTTTCTGTAACCTAGCCTTGACGAATCTTTCTACGTCTTCCTCATCTTTTCTTGTTTTTAATGCAGACGTCTCGGTCTGTGCCCAAAAATCTGTCGTGTCTCTGAAAACGGGAGCCCCCACCCACAGTCTTTCAGTACAAAAATTCGTTCCTAGTCACCCCGGCACATTCTTCATCTCCACGATACCATTTAGGGTGTGTCTGTTTTCTTGCTGCTGCGGCGAAAGCATCTGGAAACACGAAATTCCCATCCATCGTCCAGGGATCTGCAGTAGAAGTCCACGTCCTTCAGATCTTGGACCCTGTTGGCCTGAATTTAAACCTCAGTCGGAGAATCTGCCAGCATTTTTGCTCATCTATAAGAGAGCCATTCCCCGCCCGCTGCCTTGAAAGCTTGCCCAGCCCCTGTGCCATTTTAATCGGCGTAATGACGGCATGCCTTTTTGCCAGCCCAGGAGGTCTGCCTCTGTATTTTCGTCTCTGAAAGGGTGGGTTCAGGATCAAAGCTGTTCTGGGGCTTATATAATTCGCATGTTTACATCCCTTCGCCCTGCGGGCCTTGTTCCCGCCTTGATTCTCCCGAAACGCAGAGCCAAACCCACATAAGAGGATGACGTGGGACCGTAGGTTTCAACCATAACCTGTGGGAATTCCGTTCCCTCTGCTAAACAGCTTGCATCACCTGCTCTCAACCCCATGGCTGGCAGAAGTGGGATAAATTATGCAAATACACGTACATATTGAATGTGCATAATGATTTGAATTCAGATTTCCAAAGCATGAGCCGTGGAGGCAGCAGAATATGTGCCTGCATCCCTAGATTTTCTTCTCGCCTTTTGCAGCTTGGTTCGCTGACTTGAGCCTTCTAGGGATGTTTGTTCGGCCCAGTGGGCGCCACTGCCCCCCCTGCATGCGGCCCACTCTGGTCTCTTTCTTGCGAATTCTTCACTATCATTAAAAGCTGGCTTTGAACCCAGGTCTTGTGGGTTGTAGTCCAGCCACCCAACCAGTACACCATACTGTCTTTTAAGTTACAGTTTAACTTCCAAAGACCTGGCTTTGGTGCAAAGCTGGGCTTTCCAAACTGCTGGAATTTCCTCTTCTGAGCTGGATCCTCTGCAGCTAGTTGCCTCCGGACATCCTTCTAAAAACAGGGATTTTAGGGAGGATCCGCCGCAGAACACCTGCTAGTTCTAAACACCTGACATCCTTCTAAAAACAGGGATTTTAGGGGGGGAAATGTTCCCCTTTGCCATATGTTTAGTAAGCTGAAGGTAGAATTATTTCGGTCACGGACCAAGACACAGAAAGCACGGATTGTTACAGCTGATCATTGAAGGGGAAATGGCCGCATCTGGAACCAGCTACGGGGAGGCTCAGCTTTCTCCTGTTTTCCTCCACAGACCTGGAGAAGAACAACAAGGAGACACAGTTGACTCCTGCATCTAGATGTGGGTCCTATCCAGAATAATAATAAGCCCCCCCCAAGTGGGTGCATCACGGAAGGTCTCCCGTTGCTTGGGTAGGGTTGGCGACCAAGCTTGGTAAGTCGCAACCCCAAAGGTAGCTCCGGATTTTCCTCCCTGGCCTGGCTGAGCTGGGTTTTGCTCTTTTGCAAATTAGCTCCCACCCCTTCACACGCTGATTTCCAGACGCAGGATCTGTCAGATCGGATGGCTGTTTCCTCCTTTGTCAACACCTTGTGTGTGTTGTTGTTTGTGACACCGTGGTTGGCGTATATGAAACATTTCTGCCAAGAGCAGTAACGGCGACTCCTCGGAGTGCTGCATTTCAGCTTAAAATTCCTCTCTTTTTAATGTTCAGTTGAATAGGCGAGAGGGGAGGGATGTGACACGCTTTAAACGCGCACGCACCCCCCACCTCTGCATTTAGAAATAGCAGTGACCTAATTTACTGCAGCGTTTGAACTGCAGGCTTCCCTGCTCACCCAAGCGGCTGCCTTCCCTGCTTCCATCTGGCGACCTAGAAACAGGGCATCAGAGCACGCACAGAGTGCACTTTTTCTGCCAGGCTGAGATCAATCTGTCCACTCATGGGTACAGAGGATGGCAGTGGCACTCATCGAAGTTGAGCCTTGGAACTGAGCAACGGGGAAAGACCAGGACCATCCGTCCTCCTATAACTTGGAGGTATACCCAAAGGTCATCTAGACCAACCCCAGTCAGTGCAGGAAATCCAGAGTTAAACCATCCCAGACAGGTGGCTGTCCAACCTCTTTTTACACCTTTCTAACAGGAGAAAATCCACCATTTTCTTAGGCAGTTCCTCCTCCTGCTAAAGAGCTCTTACCCCATCCAGGGTTTCTTATTTGACATTTGAATCCATAGGTTCTCCGGAGCTGCAGAAACCAACATCACTCCGTCTTCTGTGCCAACAGCTGGTATTTTGAAGATTGCAAGCACCATTTTTGTTAGAAGGGAGATCCTCCAAAATTCAAACCCACCCGCAAAATACAGGCATTTGAGTGGCTGAGATTCCACCCCTCGGGGCTCGTTCCCTTCAATCTTATAACTGTCACAGCTTCTGCCCAAAAGCATTCAGGGATTTTATATATTTTTTTCTCATTATCAAGGAGCATCAAGCATGCACGAGGCATGCAAGGCGTCTCTGTGGTCGTGGATCGCAACTCCCATTGGCAGCCCCTCTTATGTACATCAGTGAGCGTGCTCAATAATAAAGATGCTTTGAAGCTTCTCAAAACTTGTTCTGGCTTGCTACAGCCAGCTCTGAAGAAGACCCGGCGCTGCCAGTTTTGCTTGGGAAAACCTTTCCTGGAGCATGTGCAGAGTGTGTCCCCCCCCCACTGCGTTGCAGACTGCTCCATCCTCATCTAGCCGAATGAGAACAGGCAGAGGGCAGTTTCCAGATTATAACACACGGTAGTAGCTGCGCTCTAGAAAAAAAGAGATTCAGCACCAGATTCTCTGTGAATGAGATTCACAGCGAGACTGAAAGAGAGAGAGGAGGATGGGGGTGGGGGTGGTTTCAGCCAAAAATCAGAGCACATCAGCCAAGCTGCCAGTCTTCAGAAAAATCTGCCCTGCAGCAGGAAATGCGTGGCTTCCTCCCGGTTGGAAGGCGCAAGGCGAACGCTTCCACTGCCGCTGGTCAGGGTTCCTGCTGTGGACCGTTTATGTCTTGCAGATCGTCTTTCCGAGTCGTGCTAAGATAAGCCGGTGGATCCTTGAAGCCTGGAAGGACCCGCCTGGCCTTCATGCCCTGTGGGGCTTAACCTCGTAATCTGGGCTGCCCAGGCCGGGACTCAAGAAACCGGGAAGTGGCTACTGAACAGCATGACCAAGAGAGAAGCGAAGGAAATCCAAGACGCATGTTCGCTTGACAGGCGTTGGATGGAGCAAATGTTCCAAAGAATAAGTCACCTTTAATTAGGACAGTGTGTATCTCACTTTATTTAGGGGAAGACGGTGTTTAGAGGTGCTTGGTCGGGCGATGGATGGTCCACCCATGAAGACACCACTCTGCTGCTTTAAGAGTCCTCTTTGTTATATTTTAAAACCCTGACACCCCTCCCGTGAGCTGCTGGTGGTGTACAAAGCTTTTTTTTTTTTTGCTTCAGCCTTTATCCGAACAACACCCCTGCCATGCAGGCCAGGCTGAGAAATCACAGTTGGCTCAAGCCACCAGCTAAGCTTCCGTGGCTGAGTGGGGATTTGAACTCGGGACTCTTGAATCCTGCCGTGGGGCTCCTGTTCACGATGCCCTCTCTGGTTCGGTGGTGAAACTTGATTTGGAAGGAGCAGGATGCCTCCCAACAGACAAAAAGAGGCGAAAGGGAGCGTTCTGGATCAAATAGGTTGGACTGCATTTCCCATCATTCCCCAATATAGGCTATTTGGAATTCTAGGAAGGCACCGGTTAAAAGGGTCAAATGGTTTAGTTCATATGGAAAATTTTATAATGTGGTAGAAAACACGTCTGCGTGTTAAACAGGGCAGGGAATCCGTGGCGTTCCAGGGCCCATCATCCTTGAGCCTGCTGGCTGGGGCTGCTAGGAGTCGGAATCCAGACCCAACCATTTCTGGGCCCACCTCCCAGGAGGTCCACCTGGGAGAATTAGGCCACTGTGGGGGGTCAAAAGTTGGTTTTCCTCCCAGAGTCTGCATGGCAGAGCAGACAGGATGAAAAAGCCGCATAAAATGGGAGCGAACTCCTGCACAGACATCCGTCGTGCGACGTGGCCCCAATCTGTCAAAGAGCAGCAAGCGTGCCGCACCCTTCCTCTGCAGTCGGGCGTTGCATCTCCTGAACGGGAGATCAAACCCTGGTCTCGGGCTGAGCCTCCCTAGGGTTTATCTTGGAGCTAAACTTCAACCATCCACTCCCCCTGTAATGCCTCTCCTCTCCCGGTTTCCTCTTCAGATGTCACGGCCAGTTCTCCGATCGCCATCACCCGAACCTCTGCTCTGTTTCCTTCTCCGTTTCCCTTCTTGGACCCAAAGCTGTCGAAGAGCTCTGTTGATTTCAAAAGCTTGCACACTTTTTTTTGAGGGCCCCCCCCGCATCTTTAGGTGTGTGTTTCTAGGTGCGTTCACCCTCTGTGCAGCAAAACCCCATAGAAGATTGAAAGAGGACTCTGTAGGAATGGGGGCTCAAGTTGAGGGACTTAAGTTGTACCTCTGACTCGACTTGGGTTGGTTGGTTTTTTTCCAATAATGTGGACTCAACTCAGAACCCGCCCACTCCTTTTTTTTTTCCTGGGGTAAAAAGTTGTGTTTCATAGGGGCTCAAACTTGAGATTCGGGACTTGGTACCCAAGACTTGAACTCGGGACTCAGATCCAAAGGCTTGCCAGCATCCCTGGGCCTCTGGTGATTGGGGTCAGAGCTATTCCAAACAATGGGGACCACCTTTTACAGGGGGGATTATATGGAGAAACTGAGAGCTGGCTGGTGGCTTTTGGGAAACAGCGTATCACCCCCCCACCCCCCCCCACCCCAACTGGTCCAGCCTTGTGGTCCGAGGCCGGGAAGAGCCCCAGAAGGCCCCTGGCGTGCAGGCCGCCTGCTCTCCTGGCTGGGCCAAGTTGCCCCTTCCCAGCCAGCCAGCCAGCCAGCCAGCCGAGCGCTGGGCTGTGGTGGCCGAAGCTCCCATCAATAGGCAGCCCGCACACCCTCGTTCTCCCACCATTGCCATGGAAACCGCCTGAGCCACTTCTCATTGGTGTGCCGCCAGCGCACGGCACTCTTGCGAGCTCCCTGGCAGCAGCAGCAGCCGCCCGTCAACGGCAGTGGTGGTGCTGAGTCCCCACATCGGAGAGCGGAAGATCTCGGGCTGGAGAGCCCCGGGGCACCCCTTGGCTTGCGCTGGGCCGCTCTCCGACCATCTCTGCGCATGGGAGCATGAGAGAGAGAGAGAGACCTCTGGCTGGGCAAAGCCTCCGACCGGGCAGGACGCAGGCCCAGAAGGGGACTCTGATGCGCTGGTTCATGTCAGCGGAGAGACCGGGACAGCGCTGATGTGCTGAAGCGCTCCTCGGCTGGAGATCTTGCTGCTTTTCGAACAGAGAAGAGAGGAGGGTGTCTGTCTGTCTTCTTGTCCTCCTCTGCCCCTCGGCTGCCAACCCGGAACCAGGATGGGGGCCATGTGTGACCCCGGCGGTGAGCCGCCCTGCCAGCCCTCCCCGTGCCGGTGGTGAAGAAGGACCCAAGCTCCTCGAATGACCGCTTTTTGGTTCCGCACGGGGATGCCCGACCGAGGGGCATCCTGTGGCATCGGCAGCCGGGCCTCCTTCCTTACCAGCCCCCTCAGCCTTGGCGCAGCCGCTTGGGCGTTCAAAGGACTCGCACCGCTGCGCCTTCCCCAGCATGAAAAATCAAGAGGAGGCCCAGCCCTCGGGAGAGGTCGCCCGGGGCTCTGGGCATGTCTTGATCGGCGCCCCTGAGCCTGATGGGCAGGGTCTGGGGGCCATGCCAGAAACGGAGAGCCCCCCGGGAGACCCTGGGGCACGGCCAGCCCCAGAGGATGAGGTGCTCTCTCAGGGAAGCTCGCTGTGCTCCTCCGAGGCCACACCAGAGAGCACGGGGCCGTGCGCTGCAGAAGGAGCCAGCTGGGGCCAGGCGGATCCCTCGCCTCAGGTATGCAAGGGGCGCTGGCATGCTTGGAAGGGGAGGCCAAGTCTTGTCATGCATCTGGACTATGAGCTTCTAGTGGAGAGCCTCCATGTTCCACAGCAGTCTATCTGTCTGCCAGAGACGTAGCGGGGAGGGGCAGAATGGGGAGGTCCGGTCGTGACATTCCAGGAGCATCCGGCTGTCCACCCTCGGGGACAGATCACTGGGAATGGTGGCTACTTGGTCTTCCCCAGGAGGGCTTGTCTTATATTTTATATATATCTTATATCCCTAAATCAATGTTTGGGGTCACATTGGGGTGTGTGTGATCCGTCTGACCCAGCATTTGCACACTGTGGCTGTGCCTTGCAACAGGAAGGTGTGGTGGCAGCTGCTTCAAGGATTCCGGTCTTTGAGGGGGGGGGAAATATTAAACACATGAAGAATCGGCAAGCCCCCAAACCTCCATGTCTAGGAACAGTATATCTTCACCTCCTGCAGATCAGCAGGAGATTGAAGCCTACAAGCCCCTCAAGGCAGCACTGGCTTTCTTTGGGCTGGAGACAGGATCCTGGGGCCGGTTTAGAAGGATTTTTTCTCTGATCTTACCCATTTTTCTTGGCTTCTCGTCCCCTATCTGATTTCTGTTTTCCTACTGTCCCTGTGTTGCCCGAAGCAGGCTCCTTTTCTATGCAATAAGACAGCCGGCGTGCATTGAACCGACAAATCCTTCCTGCCTATTTTTTGTGTTTTTTTTTTTACTGGAAGCCGTTTCCTCTCCTCGCCAGCAAACCTGTAGCTGTGAAGAAGAGGATGCAGTAAAACGGCTTCTCGCTCTGAAGTCTGAACGGAGGGAGGGGGCCACCATCTTTTCCACACTGCGCTGTTGCTGCAGTGCCAGGAGTCTCTGGAAATTCCTACCTGCAGGGTTTACCTCCGTAAGGAAGGTCCTGTGGGCAGGAGAGAGGAAGCCAAGGAGGGAGAGAGGAGGAGGAGGAGAAGTGGAAATCCAAGTTACTAGCCCTTAAGCTTCACGGCACCCAAATATCTCTCTTATCTTCCAGTGGTTCATGGAAGCCATCAGCTTGGCTACCTCAAAAAGAAGGGTGCTGTGTGAGACCGGTGATTGGTCTCCTGCAGAATGGCTTCCTTCCCCTCTCTAGGATACTGCTGCTCCGATGTAGCATCAGCATAACACATTTCCAAGGTTCAAATCAGCCTGTCTCCAGCTCTCGTGTGAGTGTCTGTGATCGATGCCTGGTGGCATTACACATGTTCACTCTCGCACAAATCAACCCCTGTCTCTCCTACGGCCACATCCAGAGCCGGCCCTCCCGTGAGGTAGGGTGAGTCATCTGCCTCGGATGCCGTTTTTTTTCATGGCCATGGGGGAAGGGGGAGATACAGCCCTAAAATGGCGAGTGATTCATCTCTTCTCTTTGCCCTTCTGTCAGCCGGGAAAGGCTGAGATCCATGGGGGGGGGGGACTCCCTGCCCTGAGTTCCCACTGGGCTTTCTTGGGCCTTGGTTCCCCCTGATCCCCTTTGATTCCCTCTGATCCCCTTTGATCGTTGGCTGCCCTGCCTCGGGTGGCAAGACGTTTGGAGTGGGAGCCCAGAGGTCTCTCAAATAGATTGTTTTGGGGCACATGGGAAGATTTTAGGGAATGCATCTGCATTCCTATTTTTCTTCCTTATTATCCTCATTCCGGTTGTCATTCTCATCCTGCAGCCGCATTGGTGTGTGCATGTGTGCCCGCGCACATGGCCTCAAGGAGGGTTATTTCAGGCCAGCTTGTGAACAGAGGCTTGGTTTCCTTTCCTCTTTGCATTTTTTGGGGGGGCGGGGTTTTTACGCTTTTTAATATTTATATAACACCTTTCCTCCAACAAGCACGAGGCACACGGCTCTTCTTTCCCCTACTTTATCAGCACACCGACCTTGTGAGGGAGGTCAGGCTGGGTAAGTCTCAACACATTCCATGATCATGGGGGGATTAGAACCCAGATCTCATGGCTAATACTCTCACTGCTACTCCATGCCATAGCTTGTTGGTTGGGGGGGCTCAGAAGAGGGAGATTTTTGCTAGATGGTTACCAGGGGTGGGAGAGGAGCCCCCGGACTAAATCTTTCTCCTGCCACGTGAAAGATCCAGAAGCAGCATCTGTGTGATTCAGTCCCTGCTTTTGCGGCCTCATCCATCTGCTCCCGGCATGTCTTTTTCGAAACACTCCTTCTGGCCTTTTGCAGCCGCAGCCGAAGGAGTGTCGCCCACCGGGCAGGGGCCAAAACCACAGGTGTCATTGTTTCTGGAAGAGACAGCTGGAGAGGGGTCATTTCAATGCAGCCTGGCTCCATGATACAGCTTAAGAACATCCGAAAGGTGCTAAATCTTTGGTCCTAACAGACCAGCATTGCCAGCTCTGATCGGCAGCTGCAGTTCTCTCGGTTTTAAACCTGTACGTATTGCAAATCCTGCCTGGGGACCTCCGATATTCCCGGATGCCCTCCTTTCCCAGATCTACCTGGGTTGATCCCACATTATCTGTAGATCAGTTGTGTTGAGGTGGGGATCAGCCTCATTTTAAAATCTACCCTAAGGTACAATATTTCAGAAATAACTGGAATAAATTAGAAATAAAAGGCATTCTTCCCTTGCAGACCCTGATAGTCCTGTGGGCTGAAATCTTTTACCCATTTTTTCATCAGAGAACCCCGTTGATATTCGTGGGGCTTACTTTAGAGTAAACCTGTCTGGAGGGGTTATATTTTCAGCCCAGTCTTTTCTCTAAAACAAGGAGGAACAGAGGAACTTTTTTACGGCTTCGGCAAGAGGCTGGTTGTCAAGAAGGTGAATTTAAGAGATGCACTGGGGATTTATTTATTTAAACTATTTTGACCCCACCTTTTTCCTTAAAAAGGAGCCAAGGTGGCTCACATCATTCAAGGACAACATTGAAAAGCTAAAAAGAGTAAGTCTACAAATGTTTGGAGAAGAATCAAACAAAAATCACCATAAAAGGGTCAACACCCTCAACCCCAAGAACATTCAAAATAATAAGCCTAATGTGATTATATTTCAAGGAACAGGCTGGCCCATTGAAGCCCCAGATGCTTCTTATTTTGAAAATTTTACGTGAGGGCCACAGGATGCTGATGCAGGTACATTTGTCCGATGTACAGTATTCAAGAGCTCCCTGGGATTTTAGAGTTGTGGTGCTTTGGTCAACAGCTTAAACCAAAGGGGCTCCATTTCCAGTGGCCCAGAGATTCCATGGATCTCCCTAGGACTTTAGAGTTGTGGTGCTTTGGTCAACAACTTAAACTAAAGGGGCTCAAATTCCAGAGGCCCAGAGATTCCACAGAGCTCCCGGGGACTTTAGAGTTAAGGTGCTTTGGTCAACAGCTTAAACCAAAGGGGCTCCATTTCCAGAGGCCTGGAGGTGCCATGGAGCTTAATGGGGGGGGGGGTCCATTCCAACTGTGTCCTCCCCCCCCCGACCACAACCAGTCTTCTTTTGGGCCCTTTTGCTGAAGATTCCTCGACCGGCTGATGATTTCCAAACCCTCATTCATTTCTTTGGCTTGGTGTCTGACAGTCCCCTTTCTGCCCCCGGTGAAGTTGGACTGGGGGGGGGGCGCCAGGGGTCAGACCAGCTTGCTTATTATGTAATGCCACCAGTGCACTTTGGGAAGTAATGCAAGATTTTTTAAAAAAAATTAAGAAACTGCCGCCATTGAGACCAAGGGGACTCTTATATAATACACACCATGTGACGGAAGGCATGTTAGAGCTTGTTTTTAAAACGGGACAGTTGCAGGCAGAGATGAGTTATGGTTTCCCTACAGGTCAGCAATCCTGGGAGCTTATTCATAACCAGAGCTGGGCGTTGGTTTTCTTTTCTCCTCTCCTTTTTCTTGGTCTGCGACTCTCAGAACAAATTTATTTCCAATAGGAAGGGCTGAGCTCGGATGGACCCAATCTCAGGGCTAGTTTCCCTGGGCTAGCAGTGGGCTGGACTAGATGACCTTTGGATGTCTTTTGGATTCCACGATTCTCTGATTCCTGGAGAGAACTTGAGGGTCTGGGAGTTGTAGCCCAAACAAAAAAAGTCAAAATTCCAAGATCTGGGAAGAAAGGAAAGTGTGCCCTCTTTCCCACCCACCCCACCTCCCACAAATGATGTGCATAAAGAGAGAAAGGTCCTTTAAAGACTTCATGGTGTCCAGAACAAATTAGAAAACTCAATTCTGCCCTTCTGAATGAGGACTGAGGTCCTTCTAACCCACTTCCCTGCAGGAACAGAATGGAATAATAATAATA